TCCCCTTCCAGAGATGCAGGCACAACTACTGTAGAACACCAAACTCCCGAACCACATGTAAGGGAATGCTCCAAACTCCCGAACGGCATACAATATAGCACTCCAAACTCACGAACTGGAACCATACGAATAGCTGCTAGTAGACGAATAGGAAAAGCACCCAAGCGGCTTGCACTCCTAGCAATCAGTCTCTATCGGCATTCAGTAAATCCCCCCAAAGACGAGACAAGGCTCCGTGTTGAGGGTCAAGCAGTGGTCTGTTTAATGAGGGCTACCTGCCCAGTATTTATGTAGGTCTCCCACCTGGTGGACACTCCCCTAGGGGACCAAATGGGAGACTGTGACAAAAGACAGACAATCAGCAAAATAGGACACACAGTCACATTATATTCCCACAATGCATCCTGGCTTCCTCCCCTCTGCCCTGGAGATAATTGAGAAATAATTCAATTATCTCCCAGGACAAAGGCAAATCGCCATTATGCACGTGGGGATACTAAAATAAGAATTACTATTAAAATACACTACGTGACACACATTACAATAAAACTATACATTTAACATATCCCCAGATAGCTCAGGTCTGAGCGCACATTATTAAGCGAATGGCACTCAGACCACACGAATACAGTTTAATCGCCGTGGAGCCAAAGTCTTTAATTCCACGAACAGGCTCCATGGCAGGCTATCTGGGTACTTTCACACCGAATACATTGCAACACTAAAAGTCCCGAATGCTCCGTTGTTCGGTTCCCGAATGGGTTTACAGACTTCCAGCCTCAGCGGGGCTTGGAAGACAAAAGTGTCCGCTTTTGGTGTCCTGCAGCTGGGTAAAACAAGCGCTGGCTACCCGGGGAGCTTCCATAACACCGCCATCGTGTGGCGGCTAGGTGTAACTGCGACCACCCAGTAATTGTCAATTAGGCTGCGGTTAACCGCAGCTTCTGGGAAGTAAATCGCCGACACACTCCAGCTCCCAGGCGGTCCAGTCATTCGTGCGGTTCTTTGGTAGATTGAATCTACCGAACACCGGGCAGAAAATCATGAATAAGTCTTTTCTGCAGGGGAAATGAAGTCTTTTAACATGGGGCCATAATCCAAAGGCAACAGGCGAGCAACCAGGCTTCTCCAATGCAATGTGGCGAGGTTGCTCTCGTCACACTACCCAAACCTGAGAGACAACTGACAGGTAAGTTTAGGTTCAGTTAAAATGCCCACTACATAAGATGGCCGGTATAAATACTCCCATTGTGGCTCCGCCCCACCCAGCATGCAAGCTGTCACTAAAACTTCCTGTTGCTGTTATGCCTACCTCCTGGCTCTGTCAAGGCCTATTCCTCTAGCTGTGCTGGTCCATGGGCTACATTCTCAAAAACTACATAACCAATCTGGCAAATAAAAAATAAATTCTTAATATCTCACAGTTTTTAGCTTTTATTCATATAAAATTATGTTTTATCTATACATATTTTATATGAAATGAAAGCCATATTTCTTCTGAACAAAATTAAATATAATAAGTGAGGGTTCACTTAATATGAAAGAGGTAAATTATGGTTGAACAGACACATAGTCAAATTCCAGATTTTGTTTTGGTCAAAACAAGTACAATTGGCTCTGCCTTTAAGGGCTTAAGCTAAAGTTGTTTTAATGCCTATAGTGTCCCTTTTAAAAATGCTTTTCATCCACCGATAACCACACACTGTTTACTATTAATTCAAACATGGGCGTCCGCTTGAGGGGTTACTTGGGGCATGGGGGGGCACTTGCCCCCACTGGATTTTTCAGCTTGTTCTGATATTTTTCATGTGAAATTTAAAATGAACTGCAATACCGGCGCCGGCCAGTAGGTGGCGCTGTTAGGAAGCTGCATCTTATCCCTGCTTCTCTCTGCTGATTGAAACCGCAGGGGAACAACACGTGCAGCCAGAGACAGCCTACAGATCAGGTAAGTGAGGGATGGGGGGAGGGTTTGAGATAGTCTATAGATTTGGGAGGGGCAGCATCCTATAGATTAGGGGAGTAAGGGGGGGCAGCAGCCTATAGATTAGGGAGTGAGGCTGGGGGGGCAGCAGCCTATAGATTAGGAGAGTGAGGGGGGGCAGCAGCCTATAGATTAGGGGAGTGAG